CTATAAAAGTATATATCTGGCGTAGAGCAATATCACAGTCAAATCTTTCAGAACATAAAAGCCACACGGTTATTAATATCGCACATGCTTAAGTCTAATAGAAAACAGAAAACTGTTCAAGAGCAATGGAATTACTTCCTAGCGCATTTAGTTTCTCTTGGTACTTCTAATTTTACGCATGGCTTGTTGTTACTCATGAAGGACAAGTAAGGAAAGTTTATCTTCCTTGAATGTGCAAGATGGTTCTATAAACCTTGTTTTCATGAAGTTCCGTCCATGTTCACCCCGATGCCCATTTCTGTGTCCTAAGCCAGAAGTGCCTTATTTTAGAGGCAGAATCGAGAGCAGCTTTGTGACAAGCATTGTCTGTATTGCACTGTTTCCTTCCCACTTTGTTATCAGAGTGATAGTCGTTATCAACCTGGGAGTCAAGAACGGTGAGTGACTCAGGGTTGGAAAGTAAGATTTATTGGTTTTGAGTCCGATTCTCTACCGACTGGGTAACCCTGGTTTGAAGGAACTTGTGGTTCTTTCTTTGGAGAATTCATGGTAAACGCAGAGATTATCCGCCACGGAATCAAACTCTGATCTCCTGAGTTCGAGTTCAAAGCCGACCTCTTACTAACTATGCCATCATTTCACTCGCTGTTACTGAATAATGCTACCCCAAGATGCTGCAGCTTCTCCACCCTTTTCACTTTGGCACCACTTAACTACCTTCGCAGTGGACTGGTTCGGCGCGAGATGTTTAGGCGCCGATCGATAATCGTTGTCAACATGCAGTCCTGTGGCGCGCGTTTGATTCTGTATGGTCATCTCCATCAACTGTAACATCTGACCCAGCAAGCTATATATCTATGAGATGATCTCCGTGAGCACCGGGGATCTCATAGACCGCTACCTCTCTTAGCATAGTGAGTGACAGTTCTCAACAGTACCGAAGCGATGGATGTGGTTATACTGATTTGTCATAAACATTACCTTGTCTTGATTGATGATTAAGGTGATGATCAGAACCACGACAGTCTGATGGCACGCCAGTGTTGCATGTTCACTGAGAAAATACAAGTTCAAATCTTGCAGTACCCATCACAATAACAGGAAGGCTTTATTCGCATCGGATTTAGTTTTGTAATGTTATTATTGAAAATTTGTTTGCGCGTGCGCACACTGATTGCTTTAAATTCTAGGGTGATTGACCTTGGTGTGATGAATCCATGTAGTAAGATTCTGGACTGTGCATTAAGCAACAAAGCTGGTAAGAGTTTATATTGATTTTATGTTGTTGTTTCGTAAGTTCAGTTTCAGAGTACGCAGTTGAGCAAGTGCTTAGCGTGCTTTCCTGCTTTATTTAGGAATAATACGACCGGCATGGTATTCTAGCTTTCATGTAGTGATAAATGAAAGGAAAATCGACAACCGCCGGAAGATCAGGATCCCTTGCGTTTTTACTATTGGATGCCAAATGCAACCACTCTTTATTCATCGAGCTTTTAGTGACACGGATCTCCGTTTGTGCGTAATCATCCTGAAGAGCTTTGTTATTTTTAGGGCTACATCTACAATTAGATGAGCACTATTCGATGTAGCGTCCTGTTTTCTTTGCAGCAAAGTGGCTCTGAGTTATCTACATTGCAAGCATGAAAGGAATGTGTTGTGAATCGTGCTCATACACTGGATCTTTGACTTTGTGTTCGAAACCCTACCGATTGAGTAACCTAACCCCTGTCTAACAGAGGTGTCTTCTATTCTTTAGAATGTAGACTATCGAATGATATTTGATCATGCATCCTTCAAAGGTTATAAAGGTAATACAATTATAACCCGCATTAGTTTCATTGTCCTTTGCTGTACTGACAGTATTATTAATCTCCTAGCTGAATTTGCCTTAAAACTAGTTCCTGTTCTCACAGGAAATATTTCGACGTCTGAAGTTCACTGCGTGAACCCTACCTCTAGGAATTTTATTTTAAGTAGTACAAGGAGAGCACAAGGTACAAAGAGATGTGCACATAAATTTCGGTGCCCATCATTCGTCATCTTCTGTTCAGAGGTGGACAGTATTGTGAAACTGTTTCATAATGACACGTTTAGAAGTTAATACGGAGAGTGTTTCAATCCTTCTGTCTAGTCTGGTATTTAGGATGCCCGTCTCTTAAATGAAACTGTCTAAAGACAAAATCTTTTTTAAACCTTGATTTTCAGAGTTTCATTAACCAATCGTTTCATGATTCGTGGCAGACCTCCGGCTTTCGGAGCATATGCTTCATTTTGCTTGACTTTGTTGTGCGTCCCATAGTCACTGCCCATCTGCAGAAGGGACCGAGAGGTTAAATTATGACAGCATTGCCTTCAACCGGCTTC